AGTGACTTGTTCTGAAACAACAATGGTTATTTGATAAGCCTCGCATGTCTTTAGTCTTTAGAAGTTGCTGTTAATGGCGATCTTGTAACGGACATTCCATTTTGACTGGGTGAACATCAACCCTCTCTGTACCTCCGCTAAGGTCACAAAAACGCTACAAAAGCACAAAACAACTTCAAATACATTTTTTTGACCTTGACAATTTATTTATTCTACCGAATTTCTCGCGTGCAAATATATCGCAAAGTGACTATAAACGCAAACAGTGAAACGAATTAAAGATAGCGAAATTTTGTAGACTCAGCAGTCAACACATAAAAAAAGGAGGACAGTTGGCGATCTGTCTAGCTGATCTTTATAATTTCGGTGGCAAAATTGCTGATTTAATATACCAAGACTACTCGGAATCACCGTGTGGATCTCATGTTAATGATGCTACAGGGATAATTTCACATTCACAGATTGTCTATGCCAATCCCTACGATCTTAAGCTTCATACCTCTAGATAATCAGCACTTGTTTGGCGTCCAGAATACATCCAAGTGATAGCATATTTCATCGTTGGACAAATATTTTTCACATTTTTTAGTATTTTTGTGCCCCAAAAAATGCAGTGAACGAGTGTATGTGATGAGCCCTCGTTTGGGAATGAAACAAGTCAGCTATGTAGTTGCCCTAAAAAATGGGCTTTCTCAATGAAAATTTTTGTAGATAAGTTGTTTTAAACACTTTCTGTACTTATCGAAAGCCAGTGCTGGTTGCCGTAGCCACCGTACTGTCACTCAGGTCAATTCTGCATATCTCGCCTCTTTTTGAGAAAAAAGTTTGGGGGGAGTTTTTAACTGCAGACTTTGAGGGCCAGTGTGAATACGAAATGCGTGTGGCAGCCAGTTTGAAAACTCATGCTACAAGTGGCCATTAGCTTATCGCTGGAATAATCCAGAAATATCCGGAAATTTAAAAATACAGGAAATCGTAAACATTTCTCCAGCACGAGTTGTCCCTCTTCACCGAAAAACGAATGCCTCGTAATACGTTAATTTCAAAACCATTGTTTTTGCATCGCTGTTCTTTGCGGCAAAATAAATTAGTTCCTTTCTTTGATTTAATGTGCCTTCCTGGCAGTGATGAATTACAGCAGCAAGCAATGACAATTGTCAAAGTTGCGGTGAATCAGGAAAGAGTAAAATGTGTGCGGAGTGATAACTACCTTTTCGGAAGATAATTTTCAGGAAACAATGTTATCCTTTGCATTTTTTTGGCCTAAATTTTGTCGAAAATTGTCTGCATTGTGCTGCTGCCGTGAACAATAGCAGTTTTTAAAAAATTTAAATTATTCAATCAGTTTCTAATGGTACCACTGCGATGGCCCGCACAACCAGTTGTGCGAATTCTCGATAATTAAAGAAATAGGATTTGGCACTCAAGGAAGCGAGAAAACTCGTCCGAACCGCGACGAAAACAGAAAATGAGAAAAACGAAAAACTCCAAGCTCTCAAAACTCATAATTCCCTCGGCATTCACGCGCTACAAGAACGGATGCACTAGCATGTGCCACTCGATGACAAGGCTGTCGGCGGTTTTTAAGATTTTTCAAAAAAAAGTTTCGAATGATGTAACGCATGCCGAATAGTGCTGTGTGTTTCATTTCTTCCTCGATGGCTGTGACGCACGGAAGAATGAGCATACAAGCACAACGCCATCGTATAAGCATTTAAACTGAGCATCGAATGAACGGCATGCACAGTGTCAAGTGAGAAAGCAGGATAATGTTGATGGCAGCGGCGCACATCATTCGAGCGAGCTCTGCTGAAGCGATGGAATACGCACACAGAACAAGTAGTAGATACTGGCTGAGGACCAGGCCAGGAACGAAGGACCTGGCTCAACTGCGGACAGCGTGTAGGAGCATCCTAGTAACATCGCTAACATGCAATATTCACCGGGACCATCTTGGTCTTTCTGACATGCTTATTTCATAAATTTGAATTTACTGCATTTTTAAAGTGTATTCCTAATGGCTTGTATTATAAAAAAAATTTTTTTGAGAAATAAAAATATGCAATGCAACTGATGTTTCGGTTCGCGTCTGGAGGTGTATGACTGCTTATAAGCCCCGGACAAGCCCCGTGCTCACCATGCTGGAACCCTCCCAGCCTTAACCGCCAGCTTTTATACCTTCTTTTGGCACAAAAACAAATTTCGAACAAATGATATTTCCGCGGTTGGGTTGAGATTCGATTTGCGGAAGTGTGAAGCAGTTGAAATCTGGTGACTTGGAATGTGTCGGCGTTTGCTGTTTTGGCATCGGCATGTTTGAAGCGTTGG